AGCAAGTAAAATATTTCACACATCCACTCCTCCATACTCGCTCCATAATATGCTGGAGTGAGATTGGGTGAACCTCGTTCAACAAGAAGATTGCTTCTAGTGAGACTAAATATGCTTATCGCGAAGGGAGAATACATTGAACAAATTGGTGATAATTTGGCTACGTTTTATTATTTCTATCAGAAAAAGAACTAATGAAGTACTGTCATGTAGTAGTTTGTCTGTCGGTGAGAGGGAGAATAAAACACTAGTATTTCCCTAATTATTACTGTGATATATGTGATATATTATTATTGAAATTCATTGCTTTCTCGAATTTCATATATCGTTATTATGCTTAACTAGAGGAGAACTAGCACAAATCACGTTAGTAGACGCCATTTCAAGGAAATTCTCTCACTAATCAATCATAACAACAACAACCAATAAACCAATCTGCCCCGAGGCCGCTAAAATTGTTACGGTGGCTTATCCTACCCAGGATTTAGAAACCTGGATACTTGTTTTATTGTGCGAGTACATGAAACCTTTTCCAATTTCAAACAAGCCTTGACTTACCCTCAAGTCCACTCACACTGCCAAGAAAGAGAAATTGTATAAACTTGTTTTAATCACGCATCTGCAGAAACTCACTGTCTGTATATAAGGAACCGAAGCTGAGTAGCAACTGGCACTCTATGCCACTAGCCAACAATTGTCACCTTAAGAAGCCGGATACGTGCACCATATGGAAAATCTATAAAGTATAATTGTTGGTATTATTAATTACAGCACATGGAAGCGAAAATTCGTAGTTCATTCGTATTCAAATGAAAAACCTTGCTTGCTTGCTAGACATGCGATATTTTGAAACTACTGTTTTCATATGGTAAAGAGAAGGTTTTTATACATTTTTGAAATGGGAATACAAATATTGTATTCTACGATAAAAACAGGACGAATGACAAGAATGGCAGATTACGCAGTTTATGCTTGACACGTATTTGAATTTTAGCATTACTTGTAAGTTTAATAAAAATATAATTCAAACAAGCATTAAAACAAATCCAGATATTCGTCTAAAGATTTACTGATTGAAACTGACAAAACTGACAGATTGATTTTTTAATAGTGTGATACAAATAATATTGAAATGGTATTTCTTGTTTCATCTGATGAAATTTATAAGGAACCTGCAAAAATTAGTGATTTATTTAATGTAATATTTAAAGAATGAAAATTTCAGGAAGCTAATTATGTATTTTAATTGTTTTTTTACCTGTATTTTCGCTTTTATCTGTAATTTAGAATTTATAAGCGATCTATATATACTTGTACTAATTTCTATTGTGAAGTCGGTGGTTTATGTTCTATTCTCAAGCTATCACTACTGAGAACTACTGCACGGCACCGTTGTGTTTGAATTTGTGTGTGTGTTTTATATAAATATTGTGTGAAGTGTGTAAAGAGTTTGAAGTAGACATAAGCCTAAAATCAAGCCATGTGCAGGATGTTTATACAAACTGGAACTTTCACCTGAACACGCGGGTATCACAGAAGGTGGCGCCAGGTGTGTTTATTTGTAATAGTAGTTCTTCGTAAAGTTGAAACTGCTGACATTATTGGATCATGAACCGAAGGTGCAATCGCTCATACGTGCATTTAGCTTGTGGTACCCCAAAAGACGAACATTTCTGTTTTAAGATGTTTAGGTATAATAATAGAAATGTACCCCAACGACGCATGAGCAAACAGTTTTGTTTCAACTTGATTTAAATCGCTTAATTATATAATGTCTAATGTTTGACTGATCTGCACACACTGGCGTGGTATGTCACTTCCCAGTATATCCCGAATGTTCAGGGCGTGCTGATAGGTGTTACGAACTATATCCCTTGCATGATCCATGCTCCGATTCTGGCTTTACGGTAATAGCGTTCGAGTATATTGGTTGTTGTCGTACTGGTATGGCGATTTCAAACTTGGGTTAGGTATGTCCACCTGTAACCAGTGAATGTTTCCAGAATCTATTTCGAGTGTGACGCGATCATAGCCATTGGTTGATTGCAAAAGTTGGGAAAAGACAACGTTGATATTCAGAGCCAGGATGTATTCTGACACCAAATATGAAATCAATTAGCATTGATTCGTATTAAACATAAAAGTAAAAAGTGAACACTGACTGGTTGTTTTATTATCTACAGCGAGATCATTTATTCGTGAATAAACTGCAAAACAATTCTAAACGCCCAAGAAGTATTCTTCGCATAAAATTAACTCAAAATATAATTCATAGATTCGTTACACTAGATAAATATGCATGGCTGAACATTTCTTTATTTTAACTGTGGTGGTGCAACTAAATACGCTACTGTCTTATAAGATACTTTATGATTATAATGTTGAGGCTAAAAGCGACAACATTATACCTTGCAATTTCAAGATATACAAGACCATGCTAAAAACATACACAAATCCGCAATTGTTCTAAGAGCAAACATTTATTTGACTAAGTTATATTGCTTCTCGCATTACTAGTATATTACCATACAATTACATATTTAATTGTGTAACTTATGTTGTACACATATATTTGCAAGTAAAACCTGTTTTCTATATATATGATCTGAACTGATATGTTTATCGAATATATTTTTGGAAAGCACAACACAACAAAACAAGAAAATGCATTACAACAAAACTTAACTTAACGGTTTCCCTATTTTTCCTATTTCTTATAACTATACAAAAAAAGTATCCATTGGTATAAACTTTGTTGATATTATGCGAACTCTGCCTATTGTACACACAGGGTTACGGAATAGAATAGAACACTATATGGGGGTTAAAATTGGGCTCTTTTGTTCTCAAAGAGGTATCATCGGTCATTAACAAATAATCATTGTAAAACGTGTCAGTGTCTAAAGTTCCATGGCACTAAGTACAATAAATAAACATTTCCTTGTGCTGCACGTATACATACTACAACCTAGATAAGTATTTTGGCGAGAACATTTGACGAGCACAACAGTAGATTACAATACTTCGATTATATGGAACGACAGGTGTTTATATGGCATTCTTTTAGTACTTTCAGTTGTTAGATCTCTTCTATTCTATAGAATAAAAAAATGGATTTAGTTTAAGATTGCAGTGATATCTCTAACTACCGCAGTATGTACATGTTAGAAAGTTCTGGTCTGGTCATTAACCATTATATGACATTATTGTTATGATTTCATTGTTATGGGTTAATATTACTACAAAATTATTTATAAGTATCTCAAAATTGTGCTCTGTTACGAGGAATTGAAATTGTTATTATCCATATGAATTCGATTATTGCAAATTTTGATATCCAACTTAGTAGCAAGTTTCAAGTATGATAATACAGTTTTCATGCATATGTGCCACATTTAAATTTATATTTTTATTTAAATTGGGACATTGATCCAGAATCCGGCCGAACAGTTAGAAGTGTATTTAAAACATCATATATAGTTTATATATAGTATTATAATATACTACTGTTTTCAACGCCATTTTCAGTGCTGATATCAACAGAAATGTACTGATCTGCCAAATGCCAACAGCAAAAATAGCATAGTTCATAATTTGTTTCACTTCGTAATAAACCTAAATAAAAAAATAAACATATAGTTATATTCAATACGTCCCTTACCTTCATTTATAGTACTTGTAGGAAATGTAGATGCTGAAGAAAATACATCCGTATGAACAGCTGTAACGTTAATAAAATTATAATATTACAATCAAATGTGAAAGGAATGATAATGCTTGAAAGACCCACGTGTTGTGCTATTTGTATTTACAATTCATATGGCCATATTTGTTGATGTATATGGGCATCATTAATGAGGTTACATGACATATCTACTACTCATATGTGGTCTTATAATTATGTTAAATCAGTAACTCTGTCAACATCATCCAGTATTTAATAATCAAATCGAATGTTAATTGATATTTACTTAGTAAACATGTTAGGTAAGATGTTTCAATAAACCATGTTTTAATAAAGCTTGCTCCTCGTTTCAGCAATTTAAAAGATCTATATCTTTATGAAACTACACAGCAAAACGTGTACATAACATATCATATGTAAATTATATTTACCAGATGTTGGAGCATAAGACGTAAATGCTGCTGTCGTTGGTTCATATTGAGAAGTAGATGTCCCGACTGGAAGAAATTAAAATAATTACAAAAACTTTCTATTGCCATAATTAGATACATGAAATATAATCATTCAAGTATACTAACATATTTCATACTATTACCTATCTAAATACCGAAGAAACAAACATTTTTTTTCTCAAATATGTGTATTGATTTTATAGGTTGATGATAGATGAATCGCAACCCATTCCCATGCATGCCGTATTTTGTTAATTCGTTCATTTACGTGAGTATTATTAATGATATGGGAAGCAGATTGAGGTTTTGAAAATTTGATAACATACTACTAAAATATGATAGTAAAGACAATATAATACAACAACAACGCTTAATGAAACAGAACTTCAGAAATAAACCTGCAGCTGCTATAAACCACATGTATGTTCAACGAATGATAATACGAACAAAAGGAAATGTCGCGTCATAGCCCATGTCTGTTGGTTGTTACTACTTTGATTGTTATTATTGTACATATTTCCACAAAAATGCATCTATTGACTGGGTCATAAGAAACGCAATAGTACATACGCCATATGGGAAAGTTACAAAAGCCTCGTATCGAGCAGTTTAAGAGATACCTGTTTGTAACCACAGAACAAACAACTTGCCTTCATACGATATTTTTTTCAATACGTAACATGCAATTCCTGCTTATCTTGGCTTAGGAAACTTATGAGTGCGTTTCATCAGTGTATTGACTAACTACCAATAATAACAAAATGAATGTTTTAGTATTCCAAAATGATTTTTTGTCAATATTCTATGTGTCAAATTGTATGACTGGGTTCGACTAAATCAAATGGTTGAAATACACAAAGAAGTTACGTACTACAATTGTCATATGGTTCTCCAACATAACATAGTTCCCAACGTTTACTGGGAGTCGTGGTGTAGCACCATGTCTGTACTTCTGCATCGGGGTTTCGACAATAGTTGTGGTTTCCCAGACCAGCGGTGGGGAAGTTAGCAGGAGTTCTTGTGTGAGAGTGAGGCGTTTGGTCTGTCCATTTCTGACATGTTTTGCCACTGATAGTAGTGCTCACTTTTCCACGGTAGTCACTTACATCGGGTTCCTTGAAGCACTCATCTATAAACATAATATCAAAATGTAAATAGGCTTAGTCTAACCAAATTTATTCAATAACTAAATCCCGTGTAATATGTGAGAGAATATTAATTTTGATATCATCACGAGGATATTACAAAGTATGCACGAAGACAGTACAGCGACGTTTCTTTAGTGGCACTTCATGCACACGTATCATTATGTTATAATCATGATACATGATAGGCCTTGCATGTCTTTTTAAATATATACTATTGAACCTTTTGTAAATTATAAAGGATAGTCTCAAATCTCTATTCGATATATATACTGATTGCTTTGTGGAATATTGTCGTTAATATTTGATATTACCTGAATCGATTCTAGGCAATGTAGTTAATGAAGCTATTGTGCTCAACACTGTGGTACCTTCTTCTGTTGTTTTCACTTGGTTCGTTGTT